TCCACTGGCTAATATTTTGTAGAGAATTTTTGTGTCTATATTCATGAGGGATATTGGTCCATAATTTTCTTTTTTTAGTGGTGTCTTTGCCTGGCTTTGGTATCAGGGTTATGCTTGCTTCACAGAAGAATTCAGTAGTATTCCATCTGTTTCTATGTCATGGAATAGTTTCAATAGAATGGGTGTCAGCTCTTCTCTGAACATTTGGTAGAATTCTCCATTGAAGCTATCTGGGACAGGGCTTTTTTTTTTTTTTTTTTGGTGGGCATTAGTTTTTAATGATCACTTCAGTTTCTTCTTTTGTTATGGGTCTGTTCAAATTATATACCTCAGTTTGTGTTAGTTTAGTTAGTGTGTTTTTAGAAATTAGTCCATTTCTTCTAGGTTTTCAAATTTGTTGGAGTACAATTCTTCATAGTATTCTGTTATTATCCTGTTTATTTCAATTGGTTCTGTTGTAATGTCACCCATCTCATTTCTTGTTTGTGTTATTTGCATCTTCTCCTTTTCTTTTTTAATTTGGTCAATGGTTTGTTGATTTTATTTATCCTTTCAAAGAACCAACTTCTAGTCTTGTTGAATCTTTTTATTGTTTTTCTGTTTCCTGTTTCATTTATTTCTTCTCTAATCTTTATTATTTCCTTTCTTCTGGTGCCTATGGGCTTTTTTTTTTTTTGCTGCTCTTTTTCTATTAGTTGGAGTTGTAGGGTTAAAGTGTTGATTTTGACTTTTTCTTCTTTTTTGATGTGTGCACTTATTGCTATAAATTGACCTCTGAGTACTGCTTTTGCTGTATCCCAAAGGTTTTGGTATGTTTTCATTCTTGTTTGATTCTAGGAATTTTTTATTTCTTTGATTACCGAGTGATTTTTAAGCAGGGTGTTATTCAGTTTCCATGCATTTAATTTTTTTCCTTCTTCTTACTTTTATTGACTGAGAATTTTATACTGTTGTGATCTAAGATACTTTGTATTATTTAGATATTTTTTAATTTATTGAGGCTTGCTTTGTGGCCTAACATACGGCCTATTCTGGAGAACGATACATATGCACACTGCAAAAGAATGTACTGCACTGTTGTTGGACATAGTGTTCTGTACATGTCTATAAGATCAAGTTGGTTGATTGTATCATTTAGTTCTTCTGTTTCTTTGTTGACTTTCTTTCTAGTTGTTCTGTACTTCATCTAAAGTGGTATATTTAAGTCCCTTACTATTTTGCGGAGCTGTCCATTTCTCTTTTCAATTCTACTAAAGTTTGTTTTATGTGTTTTGGAGCCCTTTTATTGGGTGCATAGATATTTCTTATGGTTATGTCCTCTTGTTGGATTGACCTTTTAATATTATATAATGTCCTTCCTTATCTCTGATACTGATTTTTGCCTTATAGTCTATTTTATCAGAGATTACTATTGCCACTCCTGCTATTTTTTGATTGCCATTTGATATATTTTTTTTCCATACTTTGATTTTTAGCTTATTTTGATATTTGTGTCTAAGGTGTGTCTCTTGTAGGCAGCATATTAATGGGTCATGTTATGTTATCCGTTCTGACACTCTCTGTCTCTTAACTGATGCATTTAATCCATTTACATTCAGTGTAATCATTGATAGGTAAGAATTTACTGCTGTCATTTTCTTGTGCTTTTTTTGTGGTGCTAACAATTTCTTTGTTCAATATACTTTTCTGTGCTGAGTTCTTTTTGTTTATAGATTTTCCTATCATTTTCCTTGTTGCTGTTAATTATGTATACTGAGTCTTTATGATTTTTCTTTTTTTTTTTTTTTTTTGGTGAGAAGGTTTATTAATTTTCTTTGTGGTTACCCTGAAATTTACTTTTATTTTCCTAAGTGTAAAACAGTCTGTTCTTTCTTGATAATATTGCCTTGACTTACCCTTCATATGGAAGTTCTGTAACTACACCATTTATTCCTTTTTGTTTTGAAGTTGTTGTCATTTACAGATTGACATCTTTGATTCCCTATTTTCATCTTGTAGCTTTATTTTGTTTTTTAAATTCTTTATCTGGGTCGGTTTCTGAGTAATGTTGCCTTGTGTCTTAATGTCAGCTTGTTGTGTGACATTGTTGGTTCTCTGTCCAAAGGACTCCCTTTAGTATTTCTTGTAAAATTGGTCTTGTTTTTACAAATTCCCTTAATTTATGTTTATCTGGAAATATCTTAATTTCACTCTCGTATTTGAGGGACAATTTGCTGGGTATATAATTCTTGTTTGGCAGTTTTTTTGTTTCAAGGTTTTGTATATATCATCCCATTGTTCTTTTTTTCTTTAATTGTTGTAGTTTAAGTGAAAGTTTACAGTTCAAGTTAGGCTCTTATACAAAATTTACACGTACATTGTTATGTGACCCTAATTGCTCTCCCTCTACTGTGACAGCACAGTCCTGCATTCCACTGCTGATCGCCCGTGTCCATTCAAACAGCTTCTAATCCTCTCTGCCTTTTCATTTCACCTCCAGACAGAAACTGCCCCTTTAGTCTCATGTATCTACTTGAGCTAACAAGCACACTCTTCACGAGTATCATTTTATATCCCTCAGTCCAGTCCTATCTTTGAAGAGTTGGAATCGGGAATTTTATTAGTTCTGGGTTGACACAGAGTCCAGGGGCCATGCTTTCTGTGGTTCCTCCCGTCTCTGTTAGACCATTAAGTCTGGTCTTTTTACCAGAATTTGAGTTCTGTACCCCACCTTTCCCCTGCTCCATCAGGGTCTCTCTATTGTTTTCCCCATCAGGGCAGTCATTGGTGGTAGCTGGGCACCATCTCCTTCTTCTGGTCTCAGGTTGACGAAGTCTCTGGTTTATGTGGCCCTTTCTGTCTCTTGGGCTAATAATCTGCTTGTGTCTTTGGTGTTCTTCATTCACCTTTACTCCAGGTAGTTGGCACCAATTGATGCACCTTAGATGGCTGCTTGCAAGCTTTTAAGACTGCAGACGCCACTCACCAAAGTAGGATGCAGAACATTTCTTAATAAACTTTGTTATGCCAGTTGACCTAAATGTCCCCTGAAAGCATGGTCCCCAGATCCTCACCCCTGCTGCTCTGTCCTTCGAAGTGTTTGATTGTATTCAGGAAGCTTCTTAGCTTTGGTTTAGTCCAGTTGTGTTGACTTCCCTTGTAGTGTGTGCTGTCCTTCCCTTCACCTAATATAATTCTTGTCTACTATCTAGTTAGTGAATAATGCTCTCCCTCCCTCCCCCTCCTCGTAACCATCAAAGAATGTTTTCTTCTGTGTTTAAACCTTTTCTTGAGTTCCTATAATAGTGGTCTTATACAATATTTATCCTTGTGTGACTGACTAAATTCACTCAGCATAATGCCCTCCAAATTCCTCCATGTTATGTTTCATGGATTCATCATTGTTCTTTATTGCTGCATAGTATTCCATTGTGTGACTATACAATAATTTGTTTATCCATTCGTCCATTGATGGGCACCTAGGTTATATCCATCTTTTTGCTATTGTGAACAGTGCTGCAATGAACATGGGTGTGCATATATATATTCGTGTGATGGCTCTTATTTCTCTGGGGTATATTCCAAGGAGCAGGATTGCTGGATCATATGGTACTTCTGTTTCTAGCTTTTTAAGGAAGTACCAAATTGATTTCCAAAGTAGTTGTACCATTTTACATTCTCACCAACAGGGTATAAGTGTTCCAGTCTCTCCACAACCTCTCAAGCATTTATTATTTTGTGTTTTTTGGATTAATGCTAGCCTTGTTGGAGTGAGATGGTATCTCATTATAGTTTTGATTTGCATTTCTCTAATGGATAATGATCATGAGCATTTTTTCATGTGTCTGTTAGCCACCTGAATGTTTTCTTTGATGAAGTACCTGTTCATGTCCTTTGCCCATTTTTTAATTGGGTGGTTTGTCTTTTTGTTGTTGAGGTTTTGCAGTATCTTGTAGATTTTAGAGATTAGACACTGATCAGATTTGTCATAGCCAAAATTTTTTTCCTAGTCAGTAGGTTGTCTTTTTACTCTTTTGGTGAAGTCTTTTGATGAGCATAAGTGATTGATATTTAGGAGCTCCTAGTTATCTAGTCTCTCTTGTGCTTGTGCATTATTACTTATGGTTTGTGTTCTGTTTATGCCATGTATTAGGGCTCCTAGCATTGTCCCTATTTTTTCTTCTATGATCTTTATTGTTTTTGATTTTGTATTTAGGTCTTAGATCCATTTTGAGTTAGTTTTGTGCATGCTGTGAGGTATGGGTCTTGTTTCAGTTTTTTTCAGATGGATATCCAGTTTGTTCGCCAGCAACGTTTGTTAAAAAGACTGTCTTTTCCCCCAGTTAACGGACTTTGGGCCTTTGTCAAATATCAGCTGCTGTAGGTGAATGAATTTATTTCTGGATTCTCAATTCTGTTCCATTGGTCTATGTATCTGTTGTTGTACCAGTAACAGGCTGTTTTGACTACTGTGGCGGTATAATAGGTTCTAAAATCAGGTAGTATGAGGCCTCCCACTTCATTCTTCTTCTTCAGTAATGCTTTACTTATCCAGGGCCTCTTCCGTTTCCATATTAAGTTGGTGATTTGTTTTTCCATCTCATTAAAAAATGCCAGTGGAATTTGGATCTGGATTGCTTTGTATCTGTAGATCACTTTGGGTAGAATTGACATTTTCACAATCTTGAGTCTTCCTATCCATGAGCAAGGTATGTTTTTCCACTTATGCAGGTTTCTTTTGGTTTCTAGCAGTAGTCTTGTAGGTTTCATTGTATAGGTGTTTTACATCTCTGGTTAGATTTATTCCTAAGAATTTTATTTTCTTGGGGGTTATTGTAAATGGTATTGATCTGGTGATTTCCTCTTGGAAATTCTCTTTGTTGGTGTAAAGGAATCCAACTGATTTTTCTTTGTTTATCTTGTATCCTGATACTTTGCTGAAATCTTCATTAGTTCCAGTAGTTTTCTTGTGGATTCTTTGGGATTTTCTGTGTATAAGATCATATCATCTACAAATAGATATACTTCTACTTCATCCCTATCAATTTCCGTGTAATCCTTGCGCAGGGGCCATGATAATCTTCTTTGTATCATTGCAATTGTAGTATATGTGCTGCCAAAGTGAGCACCCTACCAATTTGGATGTCCATTATTTCTTTTTCTAGCCTGATTGCTGTGACTAGGACCTCCAACACAATGTTGAATAAGCGTGGTGATAAAGGGTATCCTTGTCTTGTTCCCATTCTCAAGCGGAATGCTTTCAAACTCTATCCATGTAGGATGATGTTGGCTGCTGGCTTTATATAAATGTCCTTAATTATGTTGAGGAATTTCCATTCTATTCCTATTTGGTTGAGAGTTTTTATCATGAAGAGGTGTTGGAATGTGTCAAATGCCTCTTCTGCATCGATTAATAAGATCATGTGGTTCTTGTCATTTGTTTTATTAATGTGATGGATTACATTGATCGTTTTTCTAATGTTGAACCATCCCTGCATACCTGGTATAAATCCCACTTGATTATGATGAATTATTTTATTGATATGTTGCTGAATTCTATTGGCTAGAATTTTGTTGAGGATTTTTGCATCAATATTCATGAAGGATATTGGTCTGTAATTTTCTTTTTTTGTGGTGTCTTTGCCTGATTTTGGTATCAGCGTTATGCTGGCTTCATAGAATGAGTTTGGGAAGGTTCCATCCTTCTGTATTCTCTGTAATACCTTTAGTAGTAGTGGTGTTAATTCTTCTCTGAAAATTTGGTAGACTTCTTCAGAGAAGCTTTCCAGACCAGGGTTTTTTTGTTGTTGTTGTTGGGAGTTTTTAAATTACCTTTTCAATCTCTTCTTTTTTTATAGGTTTATTTAGTTGTTCTACCTCTGTTTGTGTTGGTTTAGGTAGTGAGTTTCTAGACATTTGTCCATTTCCTCCAGGTTTTCAGATTTGTTAGAGTACAATTTTTCAAAGTATTCTGTTATGATTCTTTTAATTTCCTTTGGGTCTGTTGTGATATCACCCATCTCATTTGTTATATTGGTTATCTGCTTCCTCTCATGTTTTTCTTTTGTCAGTTTGGCCAGTGGTTTATTGATCTTATCATAGAACCAGCTTTTGGTCTTGTTAACTCTTTCAATTGTTTTTCTATTCTCTATTTCATTTAATTCTGCTCTAATTCTTATTATTTCCTTT